TGGTATTAACACTTCACGTGATCTTGATTCTATCCCTCTGTTTATGCAGCCTAGAACTGTGTTGGCTTTTTTGGCAGCTGCTGCACACTTCTGGCTCATATTTAAATGGTTGTGTCAGGGCTGCAGCGGTCCCTTTAAGAATCTTTGGCCACTAGGAGTCCACTAGGACTCCAAGATCCATCTCACAGTTACTACTATGGGAGGCAGTGGCAAACTCCTGAAAAACTTTGCCAAGAAAACTTTAGGGATTACTAGTATTCCAGGCAGGACACCCAAATTTGAACAGATTAAGTATAGCACCCTGTCTGTTTGGTTGCAGACAATGGACAAACACAGGAATGGATCCCACCAGTCCGTTGACATTTTCCAGAATTAATTTAAATGGAAACAAATGCTTTTTATTAACTTCAACGGGATTTCATCTGATAGCAAATATTTGAAGTTCCAGTGAAACCTGAGCAACACATGTGTGTTTACATGTGTGAGTGACAGAGGGGGGGGGAGAGGCTGCTTCCTCCTAATTTCTCTTCTTCCTCTTCCTGATCTATAGGGTCAAAACTTTCCAGACTTTTTGTTGGGCAGAGCCCTGGACCAGGTTGAGACAATGTGCTGGGATAACCAAGTCTAACCATCCTGGATTAATTAAACCAATAGTGGGATCACAGTTATTCACCCTCCGTCGTCATCCTTCAGGGTTTACCAGAAGTCCTTAACTTAACGGAAGGCACTCCTTGCGCAAAGGCGCAAGAAAACTTTTCCCAAGAAACCTTCAAGAGTTCGGAGAGCGAGGAGGAGGAAGGAGGGAAGGAAGGAAGAAAGGAAGGAAGGTGACGAGTGGGACGGGAGGATGGTGAGGAGTGGGCTCCAGGAATGAGTCAGCTCCCCTCCCTGTCACTCTGCGGCTCCGGGGGGCGGAGGAAACGAGAACTCCGCCGGTGAAGCTATAAAAGCGAAGGGGGCAGAAGGCGAACAGAGGAGGCGGCTGCTGGGGACGGGCGGACGGACGAAAGCGGGACGGGAGGGGGAACTCAACGCTTGAACAAGTTGAGCGCCCGATCTTACGTCCAAGCCTGGTGTCGGGATGCCCCGGACCAGCCAGCGGAAGGTGGAAGGCTGCCTGGATTCTTAGCCAGCGAGCTGTCAGCCGTCGCCCTTCAGGCCAGTCCTCGCTCAGAGCAGATCTGGGTTTGGTTTAATCCCACGGCAAAAGGCGGCGTGGACGCGGGAACGGATCCAGAGCTCTTTCCTGAGCCCTTAGACGTCCCAGCCGAGCTTCGCTGGTGGGAGGCTGCTCCCTCCTCGGGTTCAGCCACCGCCTCCCGCCCGGGACCAGGTCTCCGTCTCCTTCTCTTCCTCCGCGACTGGCTCTCCTGCTGAGAAGGAGGGGGGCGCCCCACCATGCCGCCCCGGAGACCTTGATCGGGAGCTCCCCCCCCCACCTTTGCTCGCGCTGCTCCGACGGCCGGGGTTGTTGTTGTTTTTGCAGCAACTGCGCTCCCCCAGCCCAACCCCGGGAAGGAAGACGTCTAGGAAGAGGGTAGAGACGATCATGCAGAGCTGGACTAAGTTCTCCTCCCGCCCTCTCCTCTTCCTAGCTGCGCTCTTGGTGGTGGAGGGTTCCCAGCTCGACGGCACCAAGGCCAACGCGATCAAGGCCACCCTGATGGGCGAGACGCCGACCCAGGCGGCCAACAGGTCGGCCCCCTTCCACCCGGGACTCTCTCTGGGGAGCGGCAAAAAAGGCAAACTCTTCGGCCAGGGAGGGAAGGCACTCAAGCATTATCACCGGCAAGGCGAGGTAAGGTGCATCCGCGTCGCCCCTTTGGCTCCCCCCCCCCCGCTCCTCTCGCTTCTTTCCAGACGGTCTTTCCCGCGAGGACCGGATCTCAGGGACGCGGATCCAGGGCTCCACGCTTTGGGGAGGGGCAGGAATCGTATCTGGATGGTTAACTGTGGAGAGGGGGCAAGCAAGAAGGGAAGATAGGGGTACCTCACCCAGGGTCCCCTCAAAGTAATTATGCCCTCCCCCCCCTTCCTCTTCTTCTTGTAGTTGAACTATCAATAACCTCGGATATGTATAAATTCCCCAAGAAAGTAACCGTAGCCTGTTTGGTGATTTAAGATTTGTCTCTCCCTACCATTTGGAGATAGGCTAAAGAGGGTTTAGTTCTGAAATACTTCTTGGACACTAATAATAAAGGCAGCATGAATGGAAGAGTGAAGACCCAATTTCTCAAGTTTTTAGTACCCTTTAGGTGCATAGTTTCAGCAGTAATTGACAATGATGATTGTATTGCTGTGGTGACCACCAAAAGGTTGTTTTTGGTGTTTGTTTGTTTGTTTGTATTGTAAATGCACCAAGATTTAAAAGAAAGTGCAAAAATTGCAATATTTTCAAATGAAACCATAACCTGGAAACAGCAGGTTAGTTCTGAGAAAATCACAGCCAGGACTTTTCAATATAGTTTTTAAAGGGTGGGAGGATGAGGTTGGTGTTAGAATTCCTGATGCTATTCCCATTATGGATGAGTGTGGAAGTAGTAAATTTAAAATTAAGAGACCAGTAAGCCTTGTTCCCCAAGGAGTAGGACATTCCTCCGTTCCCATGAGGAATTATTAAACGGAGTGAGATGGAACTTTTTCAATCTCTTCTAGTAATGCTAGTTCCTAACCAGAATTTTAGCAATAGAACAGATGTAACTCCAGAGACCCTGTGGCCAGATCTCCCCACAAAAACTTAGAAGCAGCTGTAAAAATGAGAAAGAGGAAAAAAGCATTTTCTATTTTTCCCCCCTGTTGCTAGCCTGATTATAGAAATAAAAATACGACCAATGTCATTTTCATAGGATAGCCAAATTTATCTCCTCCAACAAAGAGACTTGTGGCACTTTAAAAGGCAAGACCTTTAAAATAGCATTAAAATATCAGCTGTGACTTTATGGAATAAGGAAGTTATTAATCCTCAACATGTCTCAATAATTTCTGCTGTTTCTTTAATGCAGAAGATGTCCTGAACTTTGATGATAACTGCTAATAGGTCTTGCAACCTGAAACATCTGGAGAGCCACAGAAGTTCTTTTCCTGATGGCCCAACACTGTGCTAAATAGCTTTAATGGATTTTTAAAGGTTTTTTTTACATCACCTTCAGCTTGGTGCAGTCTGAGTTCAAAATCCCTCATTCCCCTACATCTACTTTTAATTTTTTTTTAGAAATCTTGCATTATTTTACATTGTTCTTTTCTTTACTTATAATTTAGTGCCTCTGAGATAAGAAAGCAGAAAATAGAAAATGGTAACTTGATAACTTATTAAGTATGGTGGTCAGAAAACTGATAGGGGCAAAGACTGATTTAAGAATAATTCCATATTTTATATAGGTGAGTAACTGTAGAAGGTTGCTTCAAGGTCACAAAATAGGTATCACAAATTGTCATAGGGTCTTTCACCTTCTCCCCCTCCCTTCTTTTCTTCTTCATTTGGATTTCTCAGAAGTTGGTTAGAACCATCGTATCCTTCATTATCTTGACTTGAATGATTGAAGGATACTGATTTCATAGGCTGTAAAAAGTTCTCACGTCTCTTTTTCTTTATTTTGAAACAGAGTGGAAAGCCCGCATGATTGACATGTATGCCAATAGCCTTACAGTATTCAGTCACAAGTTCTTAGAACAAACAACCAAAAACACAGTGACAATCAAATAGCCTAGAATCAGTCAGTGCTCCAAAGGTATCAATTCTGTTCTTAACAGACATCTTTCAGAAGTTGATATGGGAAATGTGACTGATAAGATCCTCATTTTTAAAAAATATATATATTAAAAAGTCTAAATAATAGATTCTTAGATGTATTTTAAAGACTGTTGTGAAGTAAACATTTCCCAGTGTATTTTTCTGGAAGAGGTATTGCATCCATCAACCGCTTCATTTTTGGACTGTTTCCCAGTCAGTTGATCTCAAATCCATTCACTAAATGAAAAGACATTCCTTGACTTCCTGCAAAGATAGAGTAACTGATGTCTGTTTTAATAGGAAGCTATCCAATATATATATACACATTCAAAATACATTTCCCATTAACAAGGTAAACAGCATAGAGTCCTCAAACAAGGAAATGCAGAATTCTTCATTTTGAATATTCAGTTTGAATATAGGTAGCATTAACCTGAAGATTTACTGTATAGTGGTGATAAAATATCAAGAGTCAGTGGGTTTTTTCTCATTGTGCGACTAAAGGATTACTAGAAATTGGAGTAGAAGAATTTACAATTGAAAATAGCAATCAGTGGAATGACTGTCGGGTCTGAGATTTGCTGTCCTTTATTGGTTCCATAATCTTAAATTGATAGGCTGTTAAAAAAGATAACAGAAAATATTAATCTAGTTTCCTCGCAACTTGTTTTATTATGAAATACTATAACCCATTTATATTGTACAGGCGTGTTTTTTAATGAAAACCTAGGTTTAATTTATCTGCAATGAAAAAGGAACTTATTTGTTTGCTAGCTAAATGAGGCTAGCTTTCCCAGAGGTAATTTTTCAAAAAGGCAACTGGAATCTCTTTGTTTTGCTTGTAGATGTTTTGTTTTTCACCCAAGAAGCTTCTTCGGCTGAACATAAGTTGAACTCAACTGGATCGAAGAAGCTTCTTGGATGGCAAGTAAAACACTTTCAAGCAAAACAAAGAAAGTCCAGTGCTCTTTTGAAAAAGCACCTTTGGGACAACCATGGCTGGGATGACTGAGAATCTCCATAGACATGATGATGGCTTTATTTATTTTTTCTCTCTCACAAATCCATGCCTTATGCCAGGCTGCCCAACAACGTTGAAGCAAGCACTGCTATAGTCATCAAAATAAGTTGACTTAGTCAGCAAATCTTAGACCATGGTCCATCTAGACTAATAGCATCTAGTAAGATCCGGTGCACAACCATGTTCTAAGTGGAAATATCAAGCAACACTTAGACGTTCTTAGAAAGTTAACGAGAACCCTACATCTCCCTGCAATCTTCTCTAATAGGTCAGTCTTTGCTTCCTAATAAGCAGTGGACTTTTTCTAACTTCTGATGTCTATGTGGTAAAGATTATAAACCTTCCGGGCATGTTGAACATCATCTTTTGTACGGTATATTCTGTACACAATGTACTCCATGCTAATTATCTTGTCATTATTAGAAAACTGTCCCCTGTTTCCACTCAGATACAGTGGACTTTCTCTGTGCACTAAGAGAAAAGGAATAATAATTGCTCTCTACTTTCTCCTGCCCAGAAAAAGGCAAATGATTATTCCCCTTTCTCTTCTTCCACGAAGCATATTTTTCTGTACAGGAGAATGCTTCATCCTACTTCCTTCTGAAGGGAATAGAATGGTCCATGTGGGATGTGACAAGGAATTATTGCTCATTAATTCCTCTTATTTGGAGTGATTTCTGGTTGAGAGACTGTAGTATGGAGAGCAACGACTTCTGCCAAAATGCTATGGGCCAGTTGGGGAGCACTCACAGGATGCCTCTCAACCAAAACTTTCCAAATTCTGTTTTAGAGTTTGCAGTGCAGAGAGAAAACAACATAGCAAATGAGTTCTTTTTATGCCTGTTTACTCCCACTGTCCATATTGGTGTGTATGTGCTTGTGTTTTTCTGTGTGTGCACACCCCAAGTGTCAAAGGTTCCATGAAAAATATTCAGCATGAAGTTATGCTTTGCAAAACTTGACCAAATTCTGTAATAGTACTTGAAAACTTGGTCCTCCAGAGAGATGACAAGAGTTCTTCATCTGAATAATAATTATTTCTTTAAAAATGGAATTTTATGTTGGAGTGAAGACAAACAAATAGGCATTAAAAAGATGGGGAAATGAAACATTTGACCTACCATTATCAAGAGATATTTCAAGTATTTCTATGGCTGGATTTAACTTTTAGAAATTATATTTCTTTAGATAAAGGTAAGACAGAACAAAACCATCTAGTCCATCAGGAGGGTTGTAGAGAAATGTGATGTTTGAGAGAATTTGATTGTTTAAATTATGTAGCTGAGTTATTGTTCATAAATAGTTATTAACAGTTTATGAATAGTTATCTATGAACAGTTATTGTTCATAAAAATATCTCATCTATAGGTAAATGGAATGCAACTAAACAAAGAAATGATCATAATTTTTCCGTTACTTGCTGCTGCTGCAGCTTGCTTACTATACCTAGCAATGGAAGGATGTGTAGCAAAAAATAAGAATATAGGGAGTAGCACTCCTCTCCAAGTAATAAAGTCAACTGAAAAATGCCTAGGGAAATTTGAGAGAAATTTTCAAGCACCCCGTGAATGAAGTAGAAAAACAGAAGCCTCAATAGAAGAGAACTTTTGAAGAATTGCAGAACAGATTTTATCACCAGATAAAGCATGTGGGGAAACAAAAGAAATGTGCACTAGTGAATCAGAACTCATTTCTTTTGTGCCGTTATTGACTTCTGGATATTGTGATTGAAAAGTAGAGAGATGACCCTATAACTTTTTAGATTCAGTACTAAAAGGAAAACATTAGTTTTTGGTTTTTCAGCCATGGCTCATACATTTAAGACTGCAGGGCCAGCAATATCAGTGGTGGCTGTTACGGAATCTTTTTATTTAGTTATTTATTTAAAAAAAGAGCTGCTGAAATGAAATTTCTAGTGTCAGAGCATGAAATCTGCTGCATTTAAAAATAATGGTTACATGAATTCCAGTTAATTAGTATATAACCATTTTGTTTAAAAGAAACCATTATTAGATTAGTAGTTCTTAAGTTGTTTAGACTATTGGAA